GCATGAATTAAAAAAAAAAAAAAAAGAAAGCTCCATCTTTGAAAATCAGAGAAAGGCAGGCAAGAGAATAAGAATGATGAATGGTATATCCTTCAAAACTGGAAATCTTCACAGGATGAACAAAAACACCTATGAATAAAATGTTATTCAGCTAAGCCTAGCGTTAAGATTCAACACAAAAGTGGGCAATTCTCCATGAAAGGTCGAACACTTACCTGCTTGTGCTGCTGCAGAGCTGATTATGACAGGAGTTGAGGCCACCAACCTGACTGGTGCTCCAAGGCCAGTTCTTGCTCCAGGGCCTACGACTAAGGCACCAGTCTGATCGTAATAGGCAGTGGGAGCTAGTACTTGATAGCCTGCACAACACAAAACACAGTAGTTGGTGGCACAAACATTATGGAGGAGCCAGCATTCCTTCTCTTCCTGAAATATTATGGCAATCAGTTACTAGACGGAAAAAAAAAAAAAAAAAACATTTCTGCCACAATGCCTTAGAATGTCAACTAATCAAAAAGGAAAACTAACGCTTAATCAAAAGGAAAAACTAGCAAAAATCTTAGTGTAGTCTTACAAAGTCTTGTTTAGAAATGCCTCAGTTTATTTTTTTTAGACCTAGAAAAACAACTAAATTTAGAAATCTAATTTCCAATGCCAAAATTTAAAAGAAAAAGGAAACACAATTGGTTGTATCTAGATTAACAAATTAATCTCCCAATTTAAAGTATTTTACATTTATTCGCTTATATGCCTTTGTATATGAAATAACGGTTGAAATCTATATAAATTTTTAAAGGGTTGAATTAAATGCAAGTTTGGCAATGCCACATATTCTCTGGCTAAACTGCATTTAAAATCCATCTACAAAGGGATGTTAATGAAGTGCAAACTGTGTCTACACAGTGTAGTGTGTAGTGTGCTGTGTCTACATAGGAATGCCTGGAACAAAAAAAACAAAAAAAGGAGATCTGGTCCCAGTCAGTTGCACAGAAAGCAGATTGCAATTCAAGAATAATTTCCATCAATTGGGTCTTGGAAGTGGGGTGAAAAAGAGGAAAAGGATGAAAAAGAAGAAAAGCAAGCAGTAGAAAGGAAAACAAGCCATGAGTGAAGAAGAGCAAAAGACAGAAAAAATAAAATTCATATGGGAGAAGAGTTAAAGTAGTAAGGCACTGCTTATAATGACATGGGAGAACTGGAATAAGAATCTCTAAATGGAAGAGCTCCCTTGCTAAGAATGGAAGCTGACAAGAAGGAGACAAAACTGTCTAATGTTTACGTTGACTATTGCTAAAATAAAATAATAAACAAAGATAATTTCAATGTTCTTTCCATGTTCAATATACACTAAGGCTATTTTTAAAAAGCCAAAAAATGAAAAATGCAAAAAACAAACAAAACCCAGGCATCTATTTTAATAAATGTAAGGATTAAGATTTTGTGTCCATCTCCATACATATACATTACTAGGTCCACTAGAGGACAAAACTGCTCCAGTTCTCTTTGATGCAGATATAAATCTGGACACAAAGGCCATGGGCTGTAATTCTAGGTGAGTACCCTGATCACCAGCCTCCCAAGCCATTTTCTCTCCTGTACAATTTCTCCTGCAAGCTGGTAGAAACTGCCCAGGTATTTTGCTGCTACCACTAGCTGCCTGCAGCCAGCTGGGTAGGGTACTCTGCAAAGCAGCTGGAGATGCATGCTCAAATTTTCTCATCCTAACAAAAAGGATATAAAGGAGGAAACTCAGCTATTATTCAAACAGGAGAGGAATGAGGGAAATCCAAAACATTGTGTTCAGTCTTGGTTCTGGAGATGGACTGACCTGGTCATGAGAACTTAGCATTACTATAATTCTAAATCTGTTTTCGCTAATTACTAATTATGCATCCCAGCAGCTTCTACCTTTTCCTTCCCAATACCACCACAGGAGAAAAAGTCTTTCTACATAAAGTGCATCTGAAAGTTTGCCTAGTTAGAACAACCAAGAAAGGGTCTTACGATGGAATTAAGAAACCTTTAGCTATAGGTGTCACTGCCAGTTCCACCTACACACTGTGCTGTGCTGCTCCACTACCTTCACCACTAAGACTGCTACTTTCCCAAGCTAGGAAAAGGTGAGGCTGACTGCTCTCTGCTTTACTGAAGTTCTGTAAAGAATACAGAATACATTATTAGAAGATTAAGTGACACAGTAGGAAAACTCTTTATAACACCATGTGCATTAGCAATATTTTATTACTAGTACCTGTATCATCTGACATTACTCATAGCTCATCCAAATGGTAACACCTTGCTGGTCATTTGAGACTTATCTTACATAAAACCCCTTTTTTCAGAAGCGAGAAGCTGCTAATACTTACCAATACCTGCTCTGCCCAACTACCCTCTTCAGATGTCCAAACTCAAGGATAATGCTATAGCTATATATGATCATGCATTTGCACCCCTTGTGCTCATCTGAAACTAATACACAGCATTTTGCACTTCAAACCCGTATAAACAGGCCTATTTTTCAATTCTAAATACTGGGGGAAAAAAAAATCAAACAGATAAATTACACAGCAAGGTCATGATTAAATTTACTGGGATTGGCACTAGTTAGAAAAAAAAACACCCTAAGATGAATGTATTAGACTATTAAAATAATTGAATAGTGTGATTCAGGGGTCAAAAATGGAAGAAGTTTGAACTTGCCCTCTGGAGTGCAAAATGCCACAGTCTGTTAGTACTTACTTGCTACTCTCAGTGACACTTCCTCAAACTGGTGGGTAGTAATACTTTAAGTAATAAGAGATGGAAGACTGAAAACTGAATAAAATTTTGAAACCAGTATGCAGACAAAAGCAGATCTTGGGAATGCTGTGAGGGAAGAAGCTGTAAGTTTTCCACCTAAGGAGAGCAGGTGCTTCAGAGACTCAAGGGCCATGTTCTGGAGTGGAGAGAGGTGTATTAGGGTGACAGTGTTAAAGGAGCAGATTTCTGGTAATTATAACCTAGGTTATTAGCATGAAGGTGTCACCAGGTACAGAAGGCCCATGTGATGCATAAGAATCAAAGGGTGCTTGCATACACCTGATCTTCAAAATGGAGAAATTCTGACAAGGAATATCAGAGTAACAACTTCCTACTCAAGCTACTGAACAAACCAAAGTTTGGCTACTTGCTAAACTACTGAGATCTTCCTAAGTGCGTCTGGAATCTCAAACTAAAGCAAAAACCATTTGCTGTGACACCAAAAATACAATTTCAAAGAGAACATCTCTGATCAGATTAACTGAAGCCTGGCAGCCCTGAGAGCGGAATTTAAATCTTCTGCTCTCCCTTTTTCATCCAGTATCACAGAAAACTCTGCTTCCTCCCGCCCCAGAAAGGAAAATGGATCGAAGGGAGGAAGTTGGCAAATAATGTCTATTATCAAAGATATTGAGTGACTTGCCAGATGATCTTCCCCTAAATCTCCCCCTCCTCCTGTGCCTATTCAATTTCTTGCTCAAATTAACCCCTATTAGCCTCATTTAAGTGTCTTCCCACTCAAACTAACTGTGGACTTCCCACTGAGAATAAGAAATAAAGCATCCTCTTTGCTTCATAATCATATCTTAATCATATTTTTCCCTAAAATTCAGTTGCTCTGTCTACATTTATTGTCTCAAGATCAGTGGGGAATGTGAAAATAAACAATCTGCTTTATCAGTACTGTGCTTGCTGAAGCGGTTTAAAAATGTCCCCAAAAATCCACACTTTGAAAACTTTATGGATTCTATTCACACAAACCCTCAATACTCTTTAGGGAGAGAAGGAAAGGAAATCTGTTCTCTTGGCTCTTACAAACCATTCTTAGTACTCCTCCTACCCATACAGTACTTTTTTCAATATCTTCCTCTCAATACTTTTCACTCTTCTCACATTTTTACACGGAGTAACACAGAGCTCTGCCCAGATGTCCTACTCCCTCCCCTCCATGCAACTTCCCTAGATGACGACACAGTTTTAAGCCAAACTTATGTCAAAGTTTGTCACTTCTCTCTATCAAATTTAAGTGAATGACTGTGACACCTCTTACTGCCTACTCGATCCTTATGCCCCTTGTAACACCATCATCCTGACAACTCTCACATAACCCATGAGACTCTGTAGTATCTTCTCTCCCTAGGCAGAAAATACACAGCTTCTTCCTTCTTAGCATTCCCAAGATCCAATTGTTTCAGTTTTCGATTTTCCCTCTTTTCTTAAGAGGGAAACCTCCAACCTTTACTTCTGTCTCCCAAACACACCAGAAACCAAATGCCAAAAATTTCTTGTTCTGACCACAAAATACACGGCCTTATCTTTGCACTCCTCCATTCATGAATGAAATTCAGGACGTTTTGTCCTAGCAGTAACTAATTCTATTCTATATAACCACTGTAATTTTGCCAATACTATAACTCACTGCTACAATTAGGTTGGATTTCTATTTCATTCCTTATGACATGGTCTCACAACCATCTCACACTTTAAATTCCTCCGGGTAATAAAACCTCACAATAATAATAAATGGAGAGTGTCAATCCTCATGTTTTATACATTTAATTCATACAATTCAATGTACATGTCCCACCTGCATGCCAAATGCACCACTATACTTAATGCTACTGCTACACTGTGTGGATTTAATACGATGAAGTTGCATCTGAGCTACTCAATCAAGCCTCCAGAGCAATTCAGCTGTTTAGGGGCAAGTTCAGCAGCTCTCGAGTCTCTGTTCAGTGACTGCACTTGCCACCTCTCCCCGGGGCATAACTGCTCCTTAGTCAACTGAGCTCAGATGCCGATTCCTACACACAGATACATCAGTTTGGAGGACACGAGTGAGTGGAGCCTTCGCCTGAGATGAGGACGGATTTATTAGTAGAAGTGTGTATGTGTACTGAGCACTGTACACCGAGAAGTGCGAGGAAACTGAGGATACTCTGGCTTTGCTTGGCACATCTATTTAACCCCAAACTATCCAATTCTTTAAGAATTCTTGAAATTGAATGACTTGCTAAATTAGGAGGACTGAGTGAAAACATAACTATGTAACTCAAATGCAAACTGTATTTTGCTCTTGATGATTTTAAAGAGCAACTAGAGTCTTCCTGAAAATAGACTTACGCCAAAAATTACCAAAAAAGTAACCTACAGAGTTTCTTTTTGTTTCAAGATGAGATGTAGTCCTCATGTTATACAAAAAAATAAAACCATCTCCCTAATACAAAAATACTTGAAATATCAAATTTATATATATAAAAAAATCCCATAGTTGGGATAGTTCATTAACTTCCTTCAAAAAGATGGATGCTGCGAGGAAAAAACACTCATCTGAAACATGCATTTAGAAGAAAACATTATAGAAATGAATAATTTATTCATTTGTTAACTTACGCTGAAGGCAAACCCACAAATATTTTCTCCAAAACTGAATATTCAGAAGCTTGAAACTCAACTTGGACCTATGCCTTGCAAGACATCCAGTCTTTCTTCCTTAGAAGATTCATTTTAGCTTGAAATTAGTGCTTACTAGATTTAGAACAGGTTCTCACAGAAGCCAAAGCGGCACCGGCTCCCTAACTCACAGGATCAGTTTTTTCAAATCAAGTAGTGTTCATCTTGCATGTTAAGAAGCACAAGTGAGTAATGGTCTGCAAATTAGGTCTCTACAAATTAGCTCTCGTTGCCTGTACAATCCTAGCTCGACCTTCTGGATTTGTGGTTTTGAAGGTATCCACAGACATACAACGTTATCAGCAAGCAATTCTGCAGGACTCAGTATGATGATATTCCTAGGATAAAGCTCCATTCGAGAATGGAGATCACACTTGCTTTAACTTAGGATAAAAGGAAGAGCGCTATGTAATGTCTCTGGACAGATAGTTCGGAGACAGACTATACTACTTTATGTCCCCAAAAATTGCAAAGGTTTGCTACGAGACACAGTCAACTCCATGTTCCTTCAGCTCCGTATCTACATTGGGAACTGCTAGGGAGCTAGAAACAAAACCAAGGGCAGAGTGGAACAGAGCTCACCCCTTGGGGCTTTTGCAAAGATGCTCACAGCATCTCTGACATTCCTCAGTGCTTGCAGGCTTCCCTGCTACTTTGATGCAGAAAATCTCTGGAAAGGTGGTACAGTTAGAGAAACCAGTGCTTCAGCACTTGGGTGATTCCTCATTTTGTGTGGAAGACAAAGGTTCTTTTTAAAAGCTGAAGTGACTACTGTGTGAAAATGCAATTACAGAACAGATCAGACAGGGGAAGCACAAGAACCAGTTCTGTTTTGCAGTTAGAGGGATAAAATCTGATCGCACGAGATGAAGTGCAGAATAGTCCTGGAACACCCACTAGGAAATTAGCTCCGATTTCCATAGATTGAGAGGCATTTTCCAAACAGTGCTCAGGGAGGAGTGAATCTGCACAAAACAACCTATTTGCAGTTACCATCAACTCTATTTAAACTGTGCTAAGATTAGAGAGGTAAAGTTTAACAATCACACTGAGGAGAGGCAAAGAAGTTTAAGCTGCTCATTCAAATGTGTACCCAAGCTTTACAAATAATGCTGAACTTCTACTCAACACATGCACTTACGAGACATTGAGATCTCAATCTTGTAAGAACTATCCACTCCCTAGAGAAGTGGGAAGCCCGATGCACTAAAAGAATCTTGTGCCTAAGCTTTGCAGTACTTAAAAGCTCATCATGATCTCCTGTAATTAAACAGTAATTTCCTTTTAATGTCCTAATTTTGTATTTTGAATCCTAGATTTAATAACATCATTAAATACCACAGGCATAAGATGCTTCAGAAAGACAAACTAATACTTCCTGTTGCATCAGGGTAGCAATTTAGACAACTGAGAGTCTTTCAAGGTGGTATGTGGTGGGATATCACAGATGTTTTATGAAAACAAATATAAAGAAAACAGTACAAACCAAAAAGCATAGAATAATTTATTAGGCCTGAAGAGCCTCATGCCAGTATTTTAACCCAACCGAACAGCTTTAAGATCTACAGAGCTCAATTCTAAACAATTCAGCATAAGCATAGCAGGATTTTGATATTATTATTAGATTCCAAATAAGCCAATAACTTTAAAAAGTGATTCCCTTAGTCCAATAACAACATACCTGGCATGCCTGTAGCAAGACCCTGACCAAAAGCCAAAGCTGGATTTGCTGCTGCAGCTGCTGCAAGTGACTCTGCCTGTTGCCCTTGCTGACTCTGATTGGGAGTAAGGGGGCGTTGAGCTGCTCCAGCACGTAGAACCTGCAAGAGATCCGCGATACCCTTTTCTCAAAAGGAGAGAAATAAAACCCATTATATGCTACAAAAGGTCTAGAACAGTTGTTTTATGTATTTGATGCCATTTAGCTCTAAATTAATTATGTGAATACTCTTGCCTTATTGGTTTCAAGGACATGTACATATAAAGAGTAATAGGCAAACTAGTTTCCTAGCAAATGTAACAATAAAATATCTGCCCTAATCTGGACAGTAGATCTCATGCATGTTTCCCTCAATGTCAATGTGTATAAAATGAGAGAAATCTGCAAAAATAAATTTAGAAACACATCATCCAGATTAGTCAAACATCTTGTTCTTTCCTGGCAAATGTTTTCCTTATACTTCCTTTCAGTCAACTGAATGTAAGCCTGAACACTTTGCAACTTGTAATAACTTGCCTAAGCAATTACAGCATTGCTGGCAATGCAGCGTTAAAAATTCATCCATTAAGCTTTAAAAAGTCCCTTAACACTCCATCCTCATGAGACACAGGCTTGTTCCTTGATGTCTAGGAATCCATTGGCTTGAAGAGCAATCTAAATCCACTCAACTACTCTATTCATCCTGGTATAGATAATTTTCCCGGGTTTGAAATAACAAAATACAACTTACAGAATAAGCCTATAAAACATCTTAATATGCCTTTTCTTTAAAAAAAAGAAGAAAAAAAATCAACTGGATATAAATTTTCAAGACAGAGCAAAATAATCCCACAGAGTAGATGATACACATTGAGTTATCCATACAGTCCACCGATACACAAGATCAGTAGGAGGGAAAACTCCACTGGAGCAGCAAACAGTGAGACAGTATTGAATTTAAATATACTTCTAATGGGGAAAACAAACAAATAAACGAAAAAACAAACGAGAAACCCCCGCATTTCTTTGAGCATCTGCCTAATATCAGATTATTTTAAGATCTAAGTTTTTCCTTTGGGAAATAGACTATTCATTCATACTGAAATCTTATATAACGACCCCAAAACTGCATGGAACAGTAGCAGAAAAATAGTATCTAAAGAAATCGTTTAGAGATAATAAAGTTCTGACCTATTGCCTAATGCCACTAATTATTATGAGAGCAGAAAAACAATTCTCTCAGGCTTAAAAACACCAATTCCTCCTGAAGTTACTACTCAATCTCTCCTCCACATGTTACGTTAACTTCCAGTTTTACATTAATGTTTAAATAATTGTACAGACAGAATTCACTTTGGCAGTTTTAAACAAAATACAGAAAGTATATTCAAGGAATTAATGTACTTTTTTTTTTTTAAGTTGGAGTTGTAGAATAAGCCACATACTTCTTATGCATTAAATGAATTTTAAAAGACTACAATAATCAGTAGTTTAAGGAAACTGAGAAATAAAAATCACAAACTGTAAACTAACATTCATATATTATATTTGGCAAAACACAGCATCTAGATTAGGCAACATTTCTGAATGTTAATCTTTTTTACACAATGATACACCAAATGTAAAGGTGAGACTCTAAACACCTCTTGTTTGTGTGAAGGACATACCGGCTGCTGTCCCTGTTGTGCCTGGGATGCCGCTTGCTGATTTGCTGTGGTATTTGCTGCTGCAGCTTGCTGCTGAAATAAATTGGCTGGATACACCCCCCACGGAACACCATAATACTGAGGAGGAACCACAGCAGGACCTAAGCCCAGAAAACATTATTATTCTATTTATTGCAGCCAGTTAAAATAATTGCTTATATTGTTTATAGTATCCCTCATTAATTCATCTTCTGAACACCAAAATTGAAAGTAGTATTAAAGAAAGAAAAAGGAATTCACATGCTAAATACACAGACATGAATGGGGAAATCAAAATCATTTTTATCAAATCATACTTTCTTTATCTAAAACTAAGTATCTTAGGGAGACCTAGACGATAAAGGAAAGCTTATACAAGTCCTGTGGGTAACCAAAGCTTATACAAAATCCATTTCCATGTTTGGCGGAAGATAACTTTGAAAGAGTCACAAAATGAAGCAAATCCATCCTCCTGATAGTTAAGTAGTGAAACTTTGGTCCACTAACATTCCTCCATTTTGCAAACCTCCTCTGCCTCCCCTTTCTTCTAGGTCACACTCTACAAAGTGGGCTTCATCTTGTACATTTATTTCATTCATCCTATTGATAAAACAACCCCTAGAAGACTGAGTTCTGTGTAACATTGCATTGTACATATCATGTACTGTGTATAAATACCTTTAATTATTTCTACTTTCTTTCCAGTCAACAATCAACTACAAACCTAACCTTCTTTTCAAAACACGAATCACAGCTCTGAATACTAAGCTGGCACTGGAATACTCCACTTAGTAAAATTATTGCAATAAACACTAGAAATGTGTTTATTTACCTGCTAGGGTGGCTGCTGCAGCTAATCCAGCTGCAGTATACGGGTCAGTACCTGGAGGAGCAGCACTGATAATGTAGGGGTTTGGCACAAAGGCAGCTGGAGCCAAGCCTGCTGAGAATACGCCTGCTATATTAACAAGAAAGAGTTCAATTATTGCTAACATACTTAGCAAGCAGTATGACACTCGAAAAAAAATCAAAAATAATCAAGTAGATCACAAAGCATATCTGTTAAGCAAGAAATGATTATGCACTGGAAACAAGAACAGAAACAGGATTACAAAAGTTGGCCTCTTTTCTCACCATCCTCCTCTTGTTATTCCCAAAACCCAACAGCTCTGAGTTGTTGGCCTACTCCAAGTCCAGTGGACTCCAAATCCATTTTTATGATGTATGCCCTATCCCCCTTATGCAGATCTGGTTACTCAGATCAGGGTTTGCCTCATCCAACTATAGCCACCTATAAATTATACTAATCTTACAACTAAATCTGTAACAAACAGGTCATCTAGAAGCTTACGTGCATGAAACAGAATGAATCACCTGTTGGAGATACAGATCAGTTTCCAATGGTAACAGAAAAAACGAACAGTTAAAAGCAGATACTTGGCCTTTGAACAGCCAGTTACAAGATGTGAACCTCACTTTCAAGCATCTGAACTTGACAGAAGGTCTGTAATGAGAATAAACAACTGGCAAAGCCCAGTCATAAAACAGAGCATTGCTGCCCAGTCTCCTTTATAGGCAGGCTGATGTACTTTCCACAACACCAAGCAAGCACAGCATAAACTACGCTGCCTCTTTCCAACAATAAGTTTATTGCTCAAATTTCTGTTAGCATGTACATAGAAGATACTGCATTTCAAAGAGTCAAGACGCAGCTGACTAGCTTAATCTACTTCAAAAAACAAACCAACCCAACTCTACAGGTTGCTGCTTTGCAACTTGGAAATCAAAGCAAGCCGTGAGACAGGACTGTGGTCTCACACAGATGCACCAGGCTGCCACATTCCCAGCTCTAACCCTGCACTAGCCAGCTATCTAACCCTGAAGACACTGAGCTCCCAAGCTACAGGCTGCTGATCCCTGTCTGATTAGGCCAGACAGGAAAACTTAATCTTCACTTTATAACAGGACAGGTCCCTCTTCAGATTCTGCATTCTACTACTTTGTTATCCTGATCTCTCCTCACAGTCAGACCATGCAGATGCATACACCTCAGCAGGCAAGCGCTGAAACTCAGGCCTGATGGAGAGTGACAAGAGCAGAAATCTTTATATCTGCCCTAAGGGGCTAGAATTTGAGAAGCTCCCTTTCCTAAATGAGTAACTGCTGCTGTGCACCTTCCACCCCTTCCAAAAACACAGAGCCTCCCATCTCATGGCTGCTGACTCAGCTCTGGAGAAAAATGATTCCCCTGTTACTGAAATAGAGTGTCTGTGTTGAACCAGGAACTTCATGCACCCAATTCACTCACTGGACTACTCAGAAGGGGCAGCAAATACTCTTGCTAAAAAGTAAGTCCATCACTGAGTAGGGTTCACAGGAATAATGAGTTACCCGTTTAAAAGATACTAGTATCAAGTACGATGCAATTCCTTAATCCAAACAGTACCACTTTGACTTAAAATTCTTACTATACAATGGTTTTAGGTGAATTATCAGAAATACTGAATTGTGCAACATGACAGCATCAGAGATTTCTTTTATTATTTGTAGATAACTGTTTTAGTTTTTCTCCCATGGAGAACTTCTCTCATTAGTAGTGCTAACATAAGCAAAAGCAATTTCCATTTCTTCACCTGCAAGAGTTCAAAGTAGGCAAGAAGTTGCACAGAAGAAAATAAACCTGGAAACATTTAATGCTCTCTAAAGATAGAATCTTTTTGTGCAGGCATTGTTAGCAGCCTTAACAAACAACATTAAGAATGAGCCAATTGATCAACACCTATTTGAAGCAGAAGAGAGGTCAAAACTGCAGTCAGTATACCAAAGCAAAACCCTGACTTTTGTTTCTACCTGCCATATTTTAGGGAAACCTCACCTATATGTGGCTGCTGAGCTGCAGCCAGTGCATATTGCTGCTGCTGGGCTGCTGTTAACTGCTGAACAGTCAGAGCATTAGTCCTCTGGAAAAGCTGTTAAGAAAAAAAAAAAAAAAAAGAAGAATTCAAGTTCAAGTCGGGGTTATAATTTACTGGGATTTACTTACAGAAGATGATTTCAAATCAAGTTTCTATCTGAAAAATTTCTCACATGGAAAATTACATATCAATATTCCAAATTTATATATAAATATATTTGCCTTAGTCAGTCACAGACTTTTAACCAAATGAAATAATATATTAATTACTTAAGGGACTAAGTATCTAAGAAGAAAACATACAACTTGCAACAACAACCAATCCAGTTGACTCAAGTTGACTACTAACCTGCTGTTGAGAATTGTAGTCAAAAAGTCCTACAGTAGCTCCTGAAGAGTCCATTTGTACCTGATTGCCAGGATAATCAAATTGTAGAGAATCAAGACCAACTTGTTCCATGGCATCCAGATTCTGATTTTCTGGGTTTGAAAATTCTTCTACCAGAGGCTTGTGGGCTGTAGGATTGGGAAGTGGACCTAATCCTTCCGTGGTGCTAGGATTGGGACCCAAGCGCTCAGCTACTTCTGTGGGGGAGGCCTGTCGACTTCCAGGGGTACGACTGCACAGAACAAATATAAGACAGGCTCTTAAAGCTTTTTAAGTAAAGCAATTTGTGGACAGAGTCTAGTATTCCTATTTACAAAGACCCTCTGAACTCAGAGGGTTTACAAATGCAAACAAGACAGACTGATTTCAGTAATTTTAACCAGTATGCACTGATTGCTCAAGATAAAGAACACATTTTGTTTCACAGCATTTAAAACAAAAACAATTCCCCAGAAGCTTTGAACTATAACAATGTAAAGAAGGAAAACGAATAATCTTTCAGGCTATTCCGAGTGAAATGGAGTGAACTGTGGTTAGCTGTAACTTTTGGGAAGGTTCTTTATTGCATTTTAGAACTGACATGAATTATAAAAGGTACTAAGAAAGATAGAAAAAAAGAAAATAGCTAAGCAGACCGCATACAAAAGGGGAGGAAAAGAGACAATACACACTAGTTGGAAAAGACAAGCACAAAATAATGAGTATCTTTCAAATTTCAAAAGCAAACAGGAAACTCCTCACAGCTCTAACTAAAATGGACTATAAACTGTCTCATTGAGCAGCTGTCTAGAGCATTTAATTTTCTACCCAGCTCATTTCTACCCAGACTATCACTCAGGAAAAAAATATTCCTAATGTAATCCTACCACATTACCTCAACTTCTCTAAGGATACATAAAGTCCACTTTACCAGGGAAAATATCTTTTAGACAGAGCAAGAGGTGTGTGTTGATTTTAGACAGGGAAACAAATAAAGCTGGTAATCATTTACTATGTTAACAAACTAAATTATTTTTGATTTTTCAGGTTTAAAAGATCTATACCAGGATTCTTTACTCCACTGTACCAGGAGTACAGTGACAGATTAGTGTACTGTAGCGTTAATTTTAGGATAGAAAGAGCCTAAGAGCTGCCTGTTCTCCTTCCTCCTACAGGACTGCAGAGATTAATTTTCTCTGACTGAATGATGCATAAGAATAATGCAGAGTAGCAGCTAGTACATATGTATTTTCTAACATTAAATCTTAAAACAGTACAGTTATAAAGCGGTCTTTTAATAAGTTCAGTAAAGAATACACCTTGCTCTATTACTTTGAAAAGAAAATCTATGCAAACTAGTTACACCAGTTTTTTGAATTTTCAAAAGAACAAGTTTGTTAGCCATCTATGCTACAACCGAAAAATCCTGGCTAGAAAGGAAACCTTGCTCAAAGCAGAATTCAGAAGCTGAAGCCATTACACGTTCCTCATTTGTCCCCCGTGACACAGAATATTCAGTCAAGAACAAAAGGAAGGCGGCAGTTATTTCAGCACACGTTTTTGAGAAAAAAAAAACAAAAACAAAAAACCAAACACCTGTAAGTACAATAAAATACATGGAGAAGGACAGGACAAACCTTCTTTAATAGCTATGTTGACCTAATATATATTGCTGCTTATACTGGTGCTGTTCTGTTGCTATAGTTAAAGTTGTGTCAATGCTTCAATTATAAACCTCTGTTTGGAGGGCTTTGTAACTCCACCTTCACATGGGCCATTTAAGTTTAACAGCCTTGCTTTTTAAGAGGTTTACTAGCTTTGGATGCTTTTTTGCACCTGTAAACTTTTTGAATAATTATTCTCTTTAAATAACACAAAAAGTATCTAGCAATCAACTATTTTAAAATTTAAGGTTTCTGGCAAAGAAAAGCAGGACAAATAAGTATTCTGCATTTTTAACAAGCAATATTGAAGATAACTGTATTTATTTCGCATAGTCACATGCATCCGAAAGGAATTAATTATTTTAAGCTCTGTAATAAGCTTAGTATTATATTCTTTTCAATTTCATGTCTTGAGAAATAGACCTGAAAAATCCCCACTTTGCCTTTGGTAATTACATTTTTAAAAGAGTAGGAAATACTTACAGATGGGATTCAAACATACATTTTTATATATTGGCTCAATCATAGATTAATGAAATCACAACTATTCAGTTTTGTTCATCACATTAATCTGAACTTGAGTAGCACACTTATTTTCTGATTTCGTTAATATTTCTGCATGACAGTTACAAATTCATTGCATAGTTATTTAAAAAACAGAAAGATCAGTCCTTTAAAAACCCTCCAATTTAAAATCCTGTTTAGTATTTAAAAAAAAAAAATACACTGTCTAGCTGTGCTGTCATACACACACTCACTAAATCTCAAGTTTGGTCCACTACTCACTAGCAAAGCCAGAAGACAGATTAAAATTCCATAGGACTAATTCCCTACAACAGTCAGATGCAAGAACTGAAGTATTAAAAAGCAGACAGAAAAGAATTGAGCTTATAGTTATAAGGGTGAAAGTCTCCATTCCTCTTTTAATTCACTCCATTTTGCAGGTAATCATTTACTTTGAAGAACTGCTATATTAAGATGAATTTGTCTTATTAGAAGTAACACACATGCTAACAACACCTTAAGAAACACGTGGCACAGTGGGAAAGGGAGACGTGAGATAGGAAGACTCAGTTTGCAGCTGGATAATGTTTAGAGCTGACACAAACCAGAACTGTAATAATGCCTTAAGAGACATGCTTGTCTTCTCGAGAAACAGTTAAAAGCTTACTTAAAATCTTTGCAATCCGCATCCATTCCATTTGGCAAACCTCTGCCATTTATTTTAGTAACATCCTCATCATCTCCTTGTTTAAGATCTCTGTTTTTGTCCTCCTCAAACGGAGAAGCCTTGCCTTTCTGATCTCCTTTCTCAGGTCCATCTGTTTCAGCATCTCTAGTGCCCTGAGGAAAAAGAATCTGTTTGATTCTGAATATTGAACAGAACACAATAGGAGCACCACAAGGTGACCTAATTCTACACTATAGTGCACGTAAACAATACAACATTTTGTTTTCAAAGAAATTGCATTTGGTGGGTAACTTGGTCATCAAGTTTCAACCACATGCAATTAATAACTGCCAAAAGGTGAAAAGGAATGCCAGGATTTATAATGGAAGAGCTAACTCAACCTTAACTATAGCGGTGCTGTTAAAGTAGAAACACCTCAAATTAGATTAATTTAAATTTATACAGTTAAAATAATCCAAAATCCCCTTATTAGAACAGAAAAGGAAGACTCAGAATAAAGGCCATCACATTCTTTTTAATTAAATGATTTGAAATCTCCTCCTACCTTCATTTAGAGCTATCAGGTAAGTATTGTTTTAAGACAACTATTTACTCTAAATTTGCCCAAACCACTTCCCTCTGATCTCTTCACTTTATGCCCCTCCAACCAGGGGAGGCAGGCAGGCAGCAAACACATTCTACCTTAGCTAGAGAGAAAAGGTAAGCAAAAAAATAGACAAGTAGAAAACGTAAGCATGGAAAACAGAAAGGCTGTAGTAGGTTAACTATGCAAACTTAACACACTATATTACTTACAAAAGCTCCTTTCCTAAACCGGGAATCCAATTTGTCAGCTGGAGAAGAACTTAACACATATTCTACCATGCTCACTCCAAGGCCACCACTTTCTGATCGTGGAGACAATACTGCATTTACTTCACTGTTTCCATGAAAACCCTGTCCAGGTTTTCTCTGTACCATAATAGGTTGGGACATAGAATGGTCTGTCAAAAGAAAGAAAAAGATACATATTATATCTATACAGAATACAATTTATGTATGTATACACATATGTACATACACAAACACACACCTCGTTATCGTGCTTTTTGAAAAAGACTTGGAGCACTTCCACCTTTCATTACAGAGATTATATTACCTAATATCAAAATTAAATTAAAAAATCTAAATTCCAACTACAATAACTGTTAGTTGCATAAAACAATCAAACAGTTCAAGTATACATTTTCAGAATTTAAATGAAAGTAACCCAAAATTTAATAGAAATTCGTAACACTAATATAACATTTTTATTTTGAAATTAAATTTTGTGAGCAGGAATGAGTAGCTCGACAATCACTTACGAGGAGTTCCCCATGCAGTCTCTCTCCACTCATCACCAAGGAATATGCCTTTTTGCCCATCTTTTGCTGAATCATCAGGTTCCCAAAACTTTTTGGCAGGTAAAAGCTATTTAAAAGGAAAAATTACTTTAAGAAGTGCATATAAATGGCAAAAAAAGTAACTGCAATTAGAGCAATTTATTCTAGGAACACTACTGAACAGCTGTACATAAGAAAGCATATTATAGTTAAGTAGTAACTCAAAAAACTCAGAAGTCAAGTTCTTCTACAGGATGAAGCCATTGCCCAACATGACTCCCACAAGACTGAAATGCTGAAGTTATCAGAAGAGATGCAGAACATAGAAGCAGCTAAGAAAGATAACTAAATTAACCCCTATGGAAAGCCCATTCTCTCAGAAAACTTATTTAGAAATGTGAAACTGCCTTCCTTTTATATTTTGGCTCAAAACCTTGGCTTTAAAAAAAATACCATGTTTATAATCAGAAGGAGATCATCACGGACATGTTCATTACACATCAGTGACTTTTACATTGGAGCTTCACGTACCAATTAATTAATTCTATATAATGTCTTTGTTCCTTTGTTTTGTATTAAAAATACCAGTATCAGAATTCCTACTTGTACTGTACTTGAGAACAAAAGACTTTGCCTAAGTACTACACAAACCACTATAGTCAGCATTCTTATTGTTACTGTTCTACTTCGCTGCTTTTATTTCTCTTTTAGCTCAAAATTATTTAAGAGTACTATGCTTGCAACAGTATTACAGGGTAATGACATGTGCTGATAGAAACATCCACCTTCCTAGTGCACATGTAAGAATCACCTCCAGGTGTCAAACACATTCAGGGAACACCAGGTCACTCTAAGTATTTTAGAAGTTTTAAAAGGGCATGCAGCTAGTCATAAGAATTTAAAAATATACTCATGGACACATAAGCTGCAATTAATTCAACCAAAATGCAATAGGTTATAAATACCAGATCAGCCAAGACAATCTAGTAAATCTTTCTGGCCTTACACTGTAAGGAGTTTGGATTACTACTTATTTTAATTTTGCAGGCTAGTGGACAGTGTGGGGCAGAGGGGGGAAGCAAGCATTTCCTGACATCTGTGAAACTGCACTTCTAAGAAAGGGAAGAAGAATCATATTTTATTTTAAACATGCTCTATCCAAGTTTAAAGACGTTTCCAGCCAAGATTAAAGCTATGAGAAATGCGAATGGGAAGGTCAGAGCAAGAGAGATGAAGAAGTATCTTTGGTCATAAAATTAACATGTACCTTCCACTATGTTTACCTAAAACCGGACCACAACTTTTAAGTTCCATTATCTGACCAGTGTTCAGATAATACAGTTGTAAGGACAACAAGCAAACTTAATTAGAACACACCTCAATATTGCTTTTTATTCTCAAGCTCATTTGCAGGATGTTTATCAGCAGATTGTCGCTGCTAGAAAGATGCCTTATTTCTCCCAAGCAAAAGTATAATGAAAATCCTTTGTTTTGCAAAGTGCTCTACCCTCAAATTGCAAACATATATTTAGCTATCTGCATTATACACTATGCACAAAGGTATGCAGAAAGTATCTTTAATACAATATAACAGATCATCTGTACCTCAAGAGGCCCAATTTAAACTGTATGCAATTTAAGATGAGACAGCTTCACAGAGAAAGGAGTCTGGGGTTAAGTTTCACATACTCAAGTCCCTCAAATACATAAAGAGATTGGTTAAAAAATAACCAATCATATTGTGTCATCTTTAGAAATGCAACCTGTGTTCACCATTTCCTGCATTTAATCCAATAATTTGCAGTGGAAATATTACAAAAATGCATCCCATCTTGATTCAAAATAATGGAACAAACTGCCATCTCTCCTGCTGCACTCTTCCAACAGAAGATCCACTAAAAGTGCATCTTCAGCGTGAGAACCAATTCCCATTCAGCTCTGCTAGAACAAAGTCTTCTCCTAAGGACAGATAATAAACAATTATGCTAAAGCTCTCTCTTAATTGGCTTTCCAATAATTAACAGTATAACCTTAATTACTGGGTTTTGTATTAGGGGTTTTTTTCTTTCCTTTTTTTTTTTTTTTATTCATAAGAGATTCCTATGAAATTCTGAAAACACCAGAAATGGATACGCTGTCCCTAAAGTGAAATTTGCAGAGGCTCCGACCCTCCTCTTAAGGTTTCTGTAAGAGTAGGCGTTATTAAAAGACTGAATTTCATATTCTGCTTGGCACTTAGTTGTTTTCACGCGTGCTGCAGGTCACCCGGGAGGTGCCGAAGCCCCCGCCGCTGGCTCTGAGTGACAGCAGCGGCCTGGAGAAGGGCAGCCTCGGTCTGCACCATCCTGACCTTCCCGGCCACGACGGCCTGGGACGCTCGAGCTGGGAGCATCATCTGTGTTTAACCCGTGTAACGGCTAGAGTTTTAGACTCTTGACAAAGATGCTTGCAACGCAGCAGATCTCTTGCTAATAAAACTTTAATCTCTTTGCAGAATTTATTAAGAAAAAACTGCAAGACAAACAGATGAAGAAAAAGAGTAAGTGTGGCTCATATTACAAATTCATACGCACAATACTGATTTATACCAAGGTCAATCTGAACACAGCTCAGAAGGACAGGACTTCTATTACTACTTCCATTATTTCCAGTGCCTTTATGATACCAGGAAATAGATTCCATACTATTTTCCTTCACAGTAGCACATGGCTTAAGTCAGTAGCACTGACTTAAGTAGTCAGATACAGTCTTAGCTTTATTATTAAAGTGAAAAAAATAAGACTTAATGACCTTGTAATCTCTGGAAGTATGGAATCCCAATGAAAACAAAGGCAGACACCAAGACGGATTAGAATTATGAACAAGAAAGCAAGTTCGGTTCAAAGCTTCTCTAGACAGAGCTTGAGGAAGAAAACAACCAACAGCTAAAAGTGTATCATTTGAAATCACCTCCCTTGCAAACTGGGCAGGAGACAGCACTCAAGAAAAGAACTAGTAGTTGTACATTCTTATGTTGGTATTTACGAGGCTATTTCCTTTAATATTGTGAAGGGCTATAATATAACTAGAAAGGTCATAACTGCCATGGACTCTGTTCCATAACTTCATTATTATCTTGCAATACATTAAGAAAAATGAGTAAATCAATGCAGTGATCTGAATCTGTATTAAAACAAGATACTAGGGAGACACTGTTGAAATGAAAGGCAACCTAGTTAATGCAGGCCCACAGTAAGTCACATTCAAGTTCTGATTCCATCCTATGAACTAGAGCTTGGTTTATTTTAAACATCTTCACAGATCTGTAAAATACCATGAAAACACACAAACAAAATTAGAATCAGTTCAGAAATGTCTCTTTCAGTCTGAGGTAACTCAAAACCATTTGCACAATTTAATCATTGGGCATTTGTGCAAATCTTTACCTCCACTCCACCAATCTTTCAAAGTACTTTGCAGACAGCAAGAGAAAAAAACTCCCAACTGAATCTTCCCTACTCACACTGGTGGTACTATTACAAATATCTTATAGCACCTTTGCCTTCCAAAAGGAATTCTCCTTTTATTTTTGGAGAGAGGAAAGCATAGCCAGTGTGGCTACATATCATGGGGCTACCTCTGTTATTGCTATTTCAAAGGAGAGATAGCTCGAAGTTGATATGGAACCCTTGGCAGAGCAAAATTTGCTGTAACGCCAACCGACTGGTTAAATACTTTGTGAAATTTTAGACAATATGAGAATACCTTAAGTAACACATGTCAATCTAGATATGTTCAACAACTAAAATATGAATTTGCTTTCCATCAACAAATTATGCGCTCCCTAAAGATCACAATCATACACTTATTTTAAGAAAATGAAGTCAAAATACTGTTACTGATTCAATCAACAAAAAGTTTTATCTAATGCCCTGCGAAAAGCCCGACATCGCCACCACAGGAGCTCGGGTCACAAGTCATCCTAGCACTCCTGCAGGCTAGTCACTTAATCTGCACCTTGAACAGAAACCTTCAGTTGTCTGAAAACAAAACGAATTGGGACTCAATAAAAGCTCTTTATTAAATAATTGTCATATCACTTATGATTTAAATTGTATCAAATTTTCCAAACCAACTGGATTCTCTGCACTCTATAAATAATTACCTCTCCCATTCCCCGAGATTCTAGGGCAAGAGCTTGAAACTCATGATTCATCTCATCCACAGAACGAACCTGCAAGAAAAAAATTAGCAATCTGTTATACAGGCAAATACATTTTCTGAAGTTCAGCAAGTAAAAAATCTGGTAAAATCTTCTAGACTATTATGTAACAGTTCCGAGCACACAAAATTTTTTACCCAACCTAGGCTGAATGTGAGCTTGGATTTCATGAACGGGTACAGCCGGTGGCCAGGGTGAATGAACCATGCTAACACAGCAACATGCAAGACAATTCCAAAGAAAATTTTAAAACTGTAACTATATGAATCAGAGTGGGCAATCACCATGGAAACAACAGCCAGTATTATATTGGCAACAAATGCAAACAAGGAAAATTAAAGATTTGTGTGTACAATGTACATCAGAGAAGCAATGACCTCTTGCACACAATGTTACTGAGTACACTTAGCAGCAAATGTAAAAAGCTCATGAGAGAGCTGACAAAAGCTACCAGTAACTGAATGCAGCATCACATCTTCCCTTCCAAAAACAGCTCTTCTGCTCTGGGTGCCTTTTTTGTAAAGGGCAAAAGGGATGACTACAGCAAGACCTGCTACTGGGACAATATCCCTTTGGGGCACACACACAGCCCATGAGGTTGTGTCTTCTCACAGGGAAATAGTTTCTAGAAGGAATTTTCAAGATCATGGACAAACTTACAAAAAAAAAAAAAAAAAGTGAGAAATCTAGAGTTGTTCCTCCTCTATCCTCTCAACATTTAGCTGCAACAACTCAACAACTAAAAAGCATAACACTTGAAATTTAAAGAAACATGAAGCTTCAAATTACCCTCCTAAAGTCACACGTTTTTCTTCTCAAAAAAGTATTGCCCCTAAATCACTATAAATCCCTTACATTTTGATGCTGAGTGTCAGTGTACTTTTGAAAAAATTTCACAGCTCAAAGGCGTAATATTCTCTCAGAGGTAAATATTTTAGTTAAGATAGAATTTTAAAACAATTCAATTCACTTACATATAAAGCAAATTTAGTTTCGCACAGATTTTTTTTCCACTACATTTACCTTTTTTCGAGACATGTCAATATTTAAGCCAATTAGAGTGATTTTATTATTAAGGGAAAAAAACAGATTGTCATGCATTTTTAAAAATGCTGAAGGCATGTTTCAAAGAGCAGAAGATCAGCAATCTATGTAAAATAAGCTTTTCTTATTAGCTCAGAGATAATCAGATCTTTGTGCATGCATATGGGTAAATTAACTGTAGGAGGATAGGAATTTTTGGAAAGAAAAACAGGAAATTTAAATTTTGAAGGCGTTCTGAACTCAGATAATTACAATTTCTAGTAACAGAACTTACTGTACAGATGGATGACAGATCTGATTATCATTCTATAAGTCCCTCCAACCTCATCATGCACTTTAGTTTCAGTTATGATTAAGATTAGTGAAATACACTTTTATCTCAGGAAAAAAAAATGGGTTTAGTCTAACAAAAATGCCTAAACTCAATTTGTAACTAATGTTTGCCAAACTATATGCTACTCAAACAACTTTTTGATAAAAATCAAACGTGTATAAGTTGGCAAAGTGCTATACTTTTTTTTTTTTTTGGGGGGGGGAGGGATGAAGGGCTACAAGATCTTATATCAATTGTTCATTTTTCAAATTACATTTAATTGCAAAAGCATAGCCGCTTTTCAAAATCCCTGGGGGAGAAGGGAAAAAAAAAAAAAAGAAAAAAGCAATGTGAAAACAAGGTAGGAGCATAATTACCCCCTGCTCTGTGAAGTCACTCAAAAAAAAGTTTTCTGAAATTGTAAATAAACTTTTAGTATACTGAATTTTTATTTTGCTCCCTTCATTTTGCTTTTCTTACAACTATGATATTCAAGATGTAGTTTTCTATTACTAGTAGGAGGGGAAAACAAGGAAAAAAAGAAAAACACTAAAGCGCAATTTCTCTAGCAATAGCAAGGGGGTCTTCATCTGCATTACTCTCAAAAGCAGCAGCCACAAGGCAGTGCCGTTTCACCACTGCATCTGTCACAGAGCAGTTTACAGACTGAAAAAACAAACAAACAAACAAAAACAAATGAAAAAATCAAACCACAGCCTTCCCAAGCAGCCAGGACATGTGTAAACATCCACATTCCTCAGCACCACCCTGCCCTCCGCAAGGGCAGGTCACCCCCAGAAGGACCAGTCCAGCCGAGTGACTCTACCACGTACAAAACCAAACCCCTCTCTCCTCTTCAAATCAGCGCTACCAGAAAGTTCTGATTTTCTTTTCTCTAATTCAATGCCCATATTCATCTAATTCATACGTATTTTAATAGGCATGTTTGTTTCTCAGGGAAAAAAAGTTTACTTCGACCAATTCAGAACATTCAAAACTGTTAAGATGAACTTTCATTCATTCCTGAGCACCTGAAATAAGAAATATTTTCTTTGAAATGTAGATATTAAAGAGTCCTTGAATTTATTTTGCTTTTTAAATTAAACTAATTCCTCCATATTTACAAGGCTTCATATAAGTTTTTCCTGGTTGTGATTATTTTTATCTTCTCATTTTTTTCTGCCTGCAAATCTCTCTGAAGGCCACTCTTCTCCATTCATCAACCAACTGCTTTTGGGATCAGTTGTTAGTTTTAATTCTCATTTTCAGAAGTTTACATTAATAAATATTCCCAATGAATAGATGCTGGCAATTTCACAGAATTTCTAATACACATCAAATCCTTCCAAGGGCTTCCAAAATTATGCACAATTATACAAAATTATGCAGTACCAAAACTAGTAGTACAAACCAAAAAAATCTAGTACAACAATTCCCTAGAAATTAAAATTATAAATCAAAATTACCAGTACTGCAAAGGGAAAAAAGGAACAGCTTATGCACCTATATGTAAACTTTTCCTCCTTTCACAGAAACTGATGAGCCTATCAGCATATTAGCTTTTTTTTTTTTTTGGTCATGGCAAGAAGTGTAAGACTTAGTTTTATAAACTTAAAGGTCTCTGCAAAAACCTTTACTCTGCCAAAACACCTGCTAAGAGTTTTTTTTTTTTTCATTCCTATTCTGAATCTCACACTACTGACACCAGACGTACCCCTCAATCCTGAATGCCACAATACTCAAGCAATAAAGTCAGTTCATGCTAGAGGTAAGAAAATTCAGTTAGCTGCTGGTGAAGAGGATGGTTCTTACATCCTTCTTCCTGACAGGTTTTACCACTCTCCTTGTCACCAACTTGGTAAATGTGGGGTAAAAGGTTTAACCTTTGGTTCATTAAGTTTTTTTCCTCCTTTTTATGCATGTTGAGATTTTCACGCCCATCAAGAACCGAAATCATGAACACGTCACTACCGCACGGCCGCAGACCTGGCACAGGAAACACAGTAAGTGAGAACCACTCCAGAGCAGGGGTAGAGCACCCACGCCAGCTACAGCTGAAGGATAAACTGCTAATGAGAACCCGCGTCCTTACGTGACTGGGGATAGGATTCAAGAGGCAGACTGTGGGCTGGAGAGGCGTCTACGATTACCAGCAAGAAATACTGCTTTTCTGGAATCCAGGCACCTAAACACAGACCTAGGGAGAGGTGTTCTCACCAGCACCCCGAATCCTCCTCTAATCCAGCTCCTAAATATTTTCCTGCAAGCAAAAATTAGCCCCTGCTTTGAAAGAACTGGGTGGGGAGAACAAAACAGAAAGAACAAGATATGACGACTTTTCTACATCAGGAGTGGGCAAACCAAGTGACCAGACAGTAAGAAAGACATTTTCTACATGTGGAAATGCCAAACGCCACCTCTCCCCTCCCAGGTGAACAGCCAAAGTGCTCTGGCAGAGACTGTTCGGGTGCCGGGAAGGGAGAAATGACGCAGTTTGACGTTGAAGGAAGACAAAAACTCAAAGCAAAACTCCCGGTTCTCACCCAGCGCCCACGATACTGCAGCTGAAACCAGGGGAGGCTGCTGGGCTCCCTTCAAATGCTTGAGGCTTGCTTCTGAATTGCGCTGAATGACTTTATTCAAATAAGCTTTTAGACTTAGTTTTCTATAGGGTAGTTCTTCTGAAGCATTTATTTTCTCATGTATGGCATACACTTATGGCAGATATGTAATATTATTAGCAAGTTAAATGGATTTTAAGAGTCCAAAAATGGTTATATTTAAGTGCAACACAGTAATCCTGCCAGCCCTCCATTAAATACTAAATATTATATAGTCATGTCAGAGATTTGACTACATATACAAAAAACTCATTTAGCACTTCAGATGGGTAGCCAGCTTGAAATGAATAAAGAAAAATATTTTAATACAAATTAAAAGTTAGAAGCATAGATCTATCAGAGATTTATAACAAAACAGCATATAGAGAAAAAAATTATACAGCAAGTGTAAAATGCAAATCAAAAATCTTGTATTAGCAAATGTTACAGTTCTGGGTTGAATAGGGAGATTGCTACTCCAGAGTATTTTGCCAAATTTCCTAAAATTTCTTTTTTTCTGATTTAATGAGCAGTTGATAGTGACTCCTAGTAATAAAAGCTGTTCAGCAGCTGAACCGGCAACTACTATAACCATAACTATTTTTGCACATAAATTAGACAAAAAACACTAAGTATTTTGTGCAACATTTTGAACAAAACAATACACTGGCCTGACTAAAATCACCTTTAGCTCAGTGAATCTTTTCATATCTCTTTCAGAAGTCAAGTCTTCAAAAATCTAACTTTCTACCCTATAGCAGCCTAATAAAAGTTGCTGCTTCTGAGTAATTCTGAGCACAGAGAGCAGGCTGCCTTCTGCGAATAGATAGCACTTTTTGAGCAAAAGAAAAGAAACTTAACTGCTAACTTTGCTACTCAAAATGAGCTACAAAGCCACTTTAAGAAACAGTCTGAACAAACATGACATCAGGCATTTCTGACAGAACACTCCTGCAAAGAATCTTTAGTTCAATACACATTTCTATAGTTGAAATCCTAGAAGTGCGTCTTCCCATTAGGTATTTAGCAATTTTCTACAAGTTAAGAATTAATAT